CAGGATTACTATGGCAGTTGGGGAGAGGGAGAGCAAACAGATTAAGCAAAATACCAGCAAGGATGGGGGGCATTTCAGGGCTTCGTGTAGAGGTCTGGCTGGTAACTGCCCTGGGGGGCTGCGTGCAAACAGCTGTCTGCGTTTCGGAGCAGGTCACGGGGGAGAAATGCTGAGTGCAAGGCTCCCGGCCAGCAGTGAGCTAAATCCATCCCCCTGGATGGGATGGGATGTGTGCCCACGGTGAGGTCCTCAACTTGCCTGGGTGCAGAAGGACTCTGGGGGTCCTAGTTTTTAGGTTCTGTGGTCAGCCCCCCACGCTGAGTAGCGAGAGGCTGGGTGCGGGATGGGGAGGCACTTCTGAACCTGCGGATGGCATCTTTCCTTTGGCTCCCTTTTGCATTTGCTGCTATCGTTGCTCAACCGGTATTTTGCAAAGTGTCATCAGTGGGCATGCTGGGCTATTGATAGTCCCCCTTCCAGCCCTGCTGGGTGGGCGGATGGGGAAGGGAAACTTTGCAGGCTCCCGAATTAGAAGCTGTGATTGCCGGTCAGGTCTCCAGAGATAGTTTCCAGCCGAGCGGGATCGGTTTGGGGTGGAGCGGCTCGCTGCCTGGTTTCATTGAGCTGGAAGTTCACATCATTCCCGTAGCTTATGAGAACTGTGCTGGTCCCACACCTTATGGGCCGGCTCTGATGCAGGAAAAGTGGCAGATAAGTTGGGGATATGGACTGATCCGTGCTGATTCCCTCAGCAGGGAGGGATGCTGCTGGTCCCGCAGTTGGGACCTTTGCGGTGTCTTGCAGACCAGCTTTCACCTGCAGCCTCAGCGAGGTTTGCATTTGGGGAAGCACAGGACTGGAAAAGTGGGTTTCAGGCACCCGACTTAACTGAGGCATCTGGAGCTGGCAGGGGACAGGGTTGGGGACGGGGCTGTCTGTGCTGGGAACATGCTGGACATATATCGTCCCTCTCTCTCGCTGCTGTGTGGGAGCTCTCGGACGGTGCTGCACCT